CTTATCTTTCCGCAAACAATCTTGTAAAATCTGTATTGATCTTCTTTATCAATATATATTTTAAATTTGAAAATTGTGTTTGTATTCATCCCCCCCCCCTTCTACAACCTGTTTAGTATTCTTGTAGACCCTTTTGGGACCAACAGTGGTACCTGCATTTGTAACATCAAATGCACGAGCATCGGGTCTTGTTGTGCTTACCGGATATCGAGCCAATGATTGAAACAGGTATTCCTGAACATTTGTAGTTTGTTTCTCGACATCCGCAATGCCCTAAAATTGTATTTTAAATTCGAAAATTACCCAAAATGACCATTTTATACATAGTACACCAACAAAATGACCAATTTTCAGACTTTTCTCACAAAAATGACCAAAAAAATCACCCCTGGAGGGCGATTTACTTTATTGGGGACACTTTCACATAAACAGGTACGAATGGGTCTCACATGCATACAATTTAAGGGACAAAATTTTGATTTTCTAAGAAACCCTCATGCAAATCGCCCCAAAACATACAAATCGCACCCTGGGGGCGATTTTAACCATTACTTTGTCTTGTAGTGAAGACATTTTATGACACAACTTCATGTTTGATTTGACACATCATAATGATGTGACAGTATAGTGGGGACGATTTTGGCTATGTTTTTGTCTTATTTGGGACGATTTTATATAAAAATGGCATGAGAAGGACCATTTTATACAAATTGTAAGGATTTCTACCACCACTGACCACCATGAATAACCACCGTATACTGATGTCCACCACCTTCCACCAACATCTTCCATTGACATCTTCCACCGTAGATCGTATACCGGCGTCCACCACCAACTACCAACATCTACCACCGTCCACCGACATCCACCACCGTATACCGACTTCCGCTACTGTCTGCCGTCACTGTTATATATCATGAAACCACCTGTAAGAAATCGTAAATTTTTTTATTTTAACTTAATAATCTATTTTTGTCTAGTATTTAACTTAATAATCTATTTTTTATTTTTGCTTAGATTATTTTTCTACAAAATTTAATTTATGATTTTTTTATAGGTGTTCTACCAAAATTTAGTGATGTTGTCATTGCATACATGTACAAATCTTAGCATGCAAATGACACTTTCCATTCTTATACCTGTCGTTAACTTCAAACAACAACTCGGTAATGGGAAATACCCTCCATGTTGCACTTCTATTGATTCCTTTTTCTATTTTTGTCTCCGCCTAAGGTGTGACTACATTTATCATTTGTGCTACAAAAAAATGATAACATCAGCCTATGGTATATAATTTACAATATAGTTTTGAATATAAATTTACATTTGTTATGTATAAAATACCATTGTTGCAGTATCGTCCGATAAAATTCAACTAACATTGTTAATCGGTAGGAAACGTGCAAATCGAGTTACTGAGTTGATGGACTCGGCACTATTGGAAGTCATTGTATTATACTGCAATCCAGAGAAGTATGAACTTGCCCATCTAGCATAACCAACTTTCTCAAGATATTGAGCGGCATTAGGTAATCTGCATTGCATCAAATCCATTGTAGCTTCAAAGTCTAACACCCTATAAGATTTGTATGCCTCCCAGAACATCCATCTTTTTCTTTTGTTTCTATTAGAGGTTAGGCGCACGTTTTAGCTCAAATGCCGACAACAAAGTCCGGTGATGTGCGTTGGGAAATACCATTCTAATGGCCAACTCAATAGAAGCAACTCTATCGGTTATAAAGGTTAAATTGGGCATTTCACCAATACATTGCCTCAATTTATATAAAAACCATGTCCATGAAGGGCCACTTTCTGTCTTCCCCACTCCCATTGCAATGGGTACGATCTGGTTATTTCCATCCATGTTAACTGCTAAGAACATGGTGTCCATGTATGGCCCCTTCAGATGGGCACCGTCCATTATAAGGAGCAGTCGCAGGTGTCCTAGAAACAAGCGGATCTGCAGATGAACGAGGTTACAAATATAAATTTCAAACCATAAAATGAAATTATGAATTCAAACAATATAATGAAACTTATTACCGAACAACCAAGTGCAACAAACAACATGTCAAATCGTCCTAATGCATCAAGGACGATCTTAGTCACAGTCCCCGGATTCACTATCTTCAGATTGTGACAATAAACCTAGAGTAGGTTAAATGACGATTCAATGGTCCCCTTCAATAGTTGTAAGGCATACATCTTTATTCGTCATACTTGGTTGTGGATATGTTAATATTGAATTGTTGGTTCATATCTTCCATAATATCTTTTCCATGGTAGACTCTCCAACAGTCTTTCAAACTCATATGACCTGAAACCTTTTTATTCTCATTACGGTGGTTTAGGTGGACTTGGCACCTTGAACAAATGTGTTCATCATGCAATTTCCGAACCTGAAACATACTGGTATCATCGATAGAAATTGACATTAAACGACAATCACAGTCCGAGGATTGACACATTGCCTCGTAGCGGTTTTTGGATGATTTTTTTAACCTTTAATTGGAGGTTTTCACAAAAGCATTTTAATCCCAATGTCAGCTTCAATGCTTCCTTCGAGTCAGAGGCTTGCAGAACTTTTACATGTGATGTAGGCTAGTAGGAAATGTTTCTTCTACGTTTGATGACGGGGGCAGGGCAAGGTGTTGGGTCGGACATAACCCAAAAACTATTCCTTACCAGATGGATTTATTCATCATCTGAGTTATTGTCTTCAAGTATATTCAAAGTTTCTGCTGCAACAGAAACATCTTCATCCTTGTTTACCTCCCACACTATTCACCATTTTGGAGACTGGTTCAAATATTAAACCATAAAACTATCATATTAAAATCATTTATTGGTTCAAAAATCTCAGTCTGTTGGGTTTGATATGGTTGCTTTACTCTCGGCGTCTTCAACACATGAACAAAATTATAAAGTTCATTCATTACGATGGCACCATGTTGATTGATTCTGGCAACATTGTAGGTATGGGTGCCACTACAACCAGGAAATAAACTACTGATTGGATTGATCTCGACAGAAAAATATGGATTTCCACTACTACCACCGGGGACCAAACTGTTCGGTTGATTTATTTCGATAGCAAAATATGGATTTCGCCCACTACCTCTAGGGAAGAAATAACCTCATTGATTGATTCTAGCAGAACCATAGGGATTTCCACTACTACCACGGGGGTAAAAAAATACATGTTTGATTGATTCCAAAAGGACCATATGGGTTTGCATCACTACCGCCGGGAAAAACATACTTGATTGATGGATTATGGCACTTGATGGATCTCTACCATCATCACTACCATCGACAATAAAGAGTGTCAAAATTTGCAATAAGTTTTGATGAACGACGTTTTGGAACATCACCACATCCTCGTCGTCACCTAGCTCAAATAACTCACAACTCAAAAGATTTTTATTTAAAACGACTATGTAAACTTATCGTCTGGGCGAAGGCAAATGTAATGTACGTTTGGACGCTTCTAACGACATATATTTTACAACACCATTTATCGTCTAGAACGAACTGCCACTTTGAACATTCACGAAACCATTATCACTTTGATGTAGATTCATATTTGTGTTAAAGGTTATGATAGTAGATTGTATTTAAGGGTTAAGGGTTGTGAGAGTAGAAGTGTTTGGATTACTATATTTTTTTGTTTGGATTACTAGGGCTATATATACTACATTTGGTCCTAAAAAAACAAAATACCAATGAAAATCGCCCCATATACTAGACACATCGTCATTGAGTTGTCAAATCAACCAAAAAGTTGCATCATAGAATGTCTCCACTACAGGACAGAATAAGGGTCAAAATCACCCCCCAGAGGCAATTTTCAATATATTGGGACGATTTTGATGAAAGTGTCAAAAAATCAGATTTTTGTTCCCCAAATGGTATACATGTGAGACCCATCCGTACCTCAAAACATGAAATCACTCCCAATAAAGTAAATCGCCCTCCAGGGGCGATATTTGTAGTCATTTTGTGAGAAAAGTCTGAAAAGTGGTTATTTTGTTAGTGTATTATGTTCATTTTGGGTAATTTCCCCTTTGAAATCTCTATAATTGATTTTATATTCACAAATGCTTCATAATAATCTCCTGCTATATATATATATATATATATATATATATATATATATATATATATATATATATATATATATAAAGAGGGGTAAGATCAAATGTTAACCAAAGTTTTTGTGTTAACTTTGTTAACCGATCTTGGTCATTCAATCTTTCAATAAATGGTTGTGATTAATGATGATAAAAACTTATTTTTTTAAATTTAAAATTGCATAAAGATAAGTGAACAATCTTGAAAAGGGTATTTAGATAAAAAAAAAATTATGTAACTCCCATATCATTGATTAATTGAGAGTTACAAAATCAAAATTCTATGATTTTTTGTTAATTTATTTTTGTTAATATAAGAACCATATGAACACAGCTATATATATATATGAACCATTGTGTCAAATACGAACAAAAATTTGACATATATATGAACTTGGACTGCATAGCATTTATAAACACAATATGAACATAATAAGAATAAATGTTATACGACAGAAAATAAAAAAAAATTATGAACATGATATGAACAGCTTGTGAACAATAGTTCCTTCATTATAAACACATTCAGGAACGATCATTTGTCAATTGGAGTTTTATACATGCATTGCATCCACACTGTTTAAGGTTCACCCCTTGTTCATATATGTTTCTGATCTTATATGGTTGTTCACTCCTTGTTCATATCGTGTTCACCTGTTGTTCATATCGTATAAAATATATGAACACATAACCCCAACGCTATGAACACCGGGTGCAAACACTTACACAAATATAAAGATTTGGTATCAAGCTTAAAAAATAACATTTGTGTTCATATGATAGAAGTAACATGAATACAATGATTCACGATTCATAAAATGATAGAAGTAACATGAACACAATGGTTCACGATTCATAAAAGTCGGTAATATGACAATATGAAAATGGGYHGTGCATGTACTTCCATTTGAACATGTGAATTAGGTACGTATTTTAATAATTAAAGAAAAAAGATATCAATACAAGATGAGTTATAAAAAACACAACACAT